GCGGAGCGGGCGGGCAGGGTTATCGGGGGGATCGTGTCCACAATCAGCGGCAGCGGAGCAGCAGCCGCAGCAGCAGCTGCTGCAGCAGCAAGCAGCAGCCAGATTGCTGCCGTTGTCTGCGCCGCGATCCGCCGCCGCGCCGCCGCGCCGCCGCCGCCTGCGCTCGCCGCCGCCTCGTAGACGACTCCTCTCGCGCTCGGAGAGCCGCGCAGCGGGCCGCGAGGTTGTGGTCTGAGAGCAGCAGGGTTGAGATCCACAAAATCGGCCAAATTTGAGGTTGCTCGAGAGAGCCTGGAAATGGTCCCGCGCCGTTGCCCCGGTGCCGGCGCATCACGTCTCAGCCGCGATGGGCCGGTTCCGCCGCGCAGTCGAGCAGCATGAGCTCGGAGGCAACTTTGTCGACAAACTGGTCGAGCCAAAATTCGGCGAGGAAGCGGCACCGGCGGCACGCCGGGTCGAATCCGGACTGATCACATTGTTCGGCACCGCGGCGGCGAGCCGCCGCGAGCCCACAGGAGAGCTGGGCGCCGCGGCACCAGACCGCGCCGCCAGCGAGGCGAGAGCAGCGGCCGACCGGCCGTGACATGGCAGTTAGACGGCGCCACAGCTCCCAGCTGGGTGTCGTGCTCGGCACGTTCCGCTCGTGCTCGGCACGTTCCCCTCAACACCATTCGCCAGCTCCCAGCTCGGCCTCGTGCTCGGCACGTTCCCCTCCCTCCACCTTTCGCCAGCTCCCAGCTCGCTCGCTCGGCCTCGATGCTCGGCACGTTCCCCTCAACACCATTCGCCAGCTCCCAGCTCGGCCTCGTGCTCGGCACGTTCCCCCTCGTGCTCGACACGTTCCCCATTTTCACCATTCGCCACAGCTCCCAGCTCGGTCTCGTGCTCCGTACGTTCCCCACAACACATCAGCTTTTGGGACTCCTCGCGCTTTGTTGGCGGTGACGAGGTGCTTGAGCTTCGTGAGACGCACCCCGGCCCTCGCAGGTGTCCGTCCGTCAACTTGAGGCCCGCCAGCCATCCCAAGCTAGTCCCCAACAGACGCAGCACCGCCAATCGACACAAAGCCCGTCGCCCGCCCAGAATAGCCCCAATACACACCCCGGAGAAATGCGACAACGTCGCGGCTGCACCTTTGGCAAGCGTACTTGGGCGGTCTCCGCCGT